CCTTTCACTCAAAGAGGGAATTTAATAAATTATTCAGCAGCATCAAAGGCCCTGTGAGAAATAATCAGTGCTGTGGTAACGTAAGGTAAAATCTGAGGGTTTCATGTTTTTTGGCAGAGGATCAGGTGCTGCTGCAGAAGCTCTGATCCAGAGTGCAGCACCCCAAGACATTGTGGAGAGGGATGAGAATATCCCCTGTGGCACCTTGGTCCCACCTGGCACAGCTTCTTGTCCAAAATCAACCCAAACCTCATTCCTTCAGAAGAACTGCTCTTTGTGCTTTCTGCCAGAGACAGGGCAAAAACTGGGAGTGGGAACCAACAGAGGAATGCTGAGAGCAAGAGCTCTGTTCCCCACGGATGCCGTGGAGAGGGCTGGAGGCAGCAGCACCCTGCATGTGCTCGTAGGTGCTCACGCAGCGTGTGCCACCCTTCTGCAACTGCTAACGTGCTCCTGACTGTATTTAATGAATTAGCAACATGATGAGAATCCGGAATTGGGGTTGTGCTGGTGGAGTAGCAGGAAACAACATGTTCTCTTGGCTCTGGGGCTCCTCTGACAGTACCTGTGGCTGCGCTCGCCAAGGTAACGGGGGCAGTGACTCAGAGGATGAGCAGGAGCATCTGGCAGCACAGTGCCGGCTCCATGGAGGCTGAGCACTCGGGTTTGGTGCTCCCAAGCACAGATCTCACGTCCCTGCAGCACCTTTCCATCCTGGAATGAGGTGGAAAAGGGTGGTGAGTGCCCAGGGGTGCGGATCCAAGAGGTGCTTGATGAGATGAATTTTCCACATCAGCCCTTTCTCGCTGTGTTATTTCCTCTTCTTGTTAGATGATGTGCTGGGATGTTTTTCTCTTTTCTGCTTTTTCACTGTTGCACTCTGGAAATCTGAACCTCAAAAATGCATTTTTGGGTTTTAGTTTTTTTTAAATTACACTGACCTGTACATCAGAAGCATCTCTTTCCGTGGAGTTTGTTACTGTGTGGAACATTGAGGTTTTTCCTGTTTTTTGGCCCTGATTTTGTGACTAGGCAGGCATGTGCTTTATTTTAAAAATGTGGTCAGTCTTGTCACTTTCTCAGGAGCTGCTCATATACCTGGGGTTAAGCAGGTTTCTATTTCCCAGGTACCTACAGCTGTAATTGCAATTTAAAATAATTTCTTCATTTTCAGTCTTATGCGAATGATCTATTCTTTAATTTCTGGTACCTCCTTGGTTGGGTTAATTCCTGCTAGTCCCCTTTGAATACTAGAAAGAGGCTAATGTTAAATACTTGAAAGCATCAGTAAAAGGTTTGGGGATATTTAAAAGCAATCGTGTTTTATAGCACTACCCTCCCTCAAAGTTCCTGCCATTTTTGGGGTGATTTTTTTCCCCCTCTTTTTTTTTTTTTGCTAACTGTGCTTCTGCTGTCTCACTGCCAAGATTACAAAGGAGCCCCAAGAAATCAGCCTGCCAAGCAGATAAAGAAACAGATGTTGTAGAGTGCAAAGGTCAAATAAATACAGACAGCCTGGAAAAAAGGCTTTGCAAAACAGTGGGAAGCTGATTAGGTGAAAAGAAAGGGGTTTGGGAATGGAATTACACAAGGGAAATCTTTTTCTGGAGAGAAATAAAATACTTTAGTCTCTAAAAAATATCTTAATCAATTCAGGGCAATAATAGAGAAGGAATAATAACTCACATTAGGTAAATGCGAAGCCCTGCCAGCCAGTGCACTCTGCAGGAGCCCACGCAGCCTCTGCAGCCCTGCAAAGCTCTGCCTGGTGCATTTAGACTCTCATTTTCTCATTGTTTTCTGGCCTCTGTCACACGGGGAATAACAGGGAAAAGCTCCAGTCTAGGAAAGCATTTAACAAACTGTGGTAGGTAGGACTTGTACGTACCAGTCTAGCTGGCTGCTGACCCTGATTGTGGCTTTACTCCCTGTTTCTGAGTAATTTAGATAATTTCTAGCTTATTAGAAAAGAAACATTCTTTAATTAAAATGCAGTTAATTCCCACCTCATTAGCCTGGGTTGTATTTCACTGTTCCCTGTATCACAGGCAGAGATGGGACTTGTACTTATTTCATTACAAATGCAGAATGTCACCGGGTGGTCGCTCTCGGGTACATACAGTGACTTACACTACAGGTTTGTCACCACTGACTGCAGAACTGTCACCCAGATCCATCCTAATGACTCCATCAACCAACCTGCCATCCCAGAAGGGACTGGTGACTAAGGGGCAGCACTAAGTGCCTCAGTCTCCCTGTCCACCGTGTGCCCTGGCAACACTGATCCCTCCCAGCGATGCCCAGACCCTTCTCCCCACAGCGTGGGAGGAATGCAGAGCTGGTCTCAGGTCTGCTCCCACTGAACCACAGCACTTGAGGGTTCCCATGTCATTTCATCACGTTGATAAAAATTCACGAGCCATGCAGCTCAATTATTGAACTGTGGCTGTGTTCTGGAATGGTGAAGTGCATGAGAAGGATGTGGAGCTGCTGGAGGGAGCCCAGAGGAGGTCACGAAGATGCTCTAAGGACTGGAACACCTCTGCTACAGGGACACACTGAGAGAGCTGGGGTTATTCAGTCTGGAGAAGGGAAGAACCTGAGGAGACCTTAGAGCCCTTCCAGTACCTAAGTGGGCTCCAGGAGAGCTGTAGAGGGACTTTGGACAAGGACCTGGAGTGACAGGATGAGGGGGAAATGGCTTCAGTCGGACAGATGACAGAGATAGATTTGGTATTGGCAAGAAATTCTTCCCTGTGAGGGTAGTGAGGCCCTGGCACAGGTTGCTCAGGGAAGCTGTGGCTGCCCCATCCTTGGAAGTGTTTGAGGCCAGGTTGGATGGGGCTTGGAGCAGCCTGGTCTAGTGGAAGGTGTCTCTGCAGGGGAGTGGAATGAGGTGGTCTTGAACATCCTTCCTAGTCCAAACCATTCTAGAATTCTACAGGCTGCTGAATTCAGCCAAAGGAAGAGCAACATTGCAGAGGTTAAATGAAAAGGGAGACTAAAACCACCTGTGTTTGCTAATTAAATCCCTTCACACATCAATTAAGATTGTTCTGATAAAGACCAGGCAGCACTCAAACAGATGCTGAACAGGGTTCATCTGGTGTATCTCTGGGTAAGATCACAAAGGAGCTATTGTTGCTCATTAGTCAGGGCTGAAATCTAAATCTCAGCAAGTGCAGCCTGGAGGGTGACGTGTGCTGGCACCGGGGCTGCAGTGTGGGACTTGTTTTCAAAGAATCAGGAAACGCAGAAGAGAGGTTCCTGAAAACAGCCGGAACTGAGGCATCTGGCCAGGGATTTCATATTCACAACCGGGAGGGAAATCTAATCAGGACTTGCTAATTTTCATGAAGTCAAACACCTGGGATTCACTTCAGACTCGCATTTTCCTGGAATAATTCAACACAAACACTGTATATTTATACATGGGCACTTGACTTTTCTGTTGTTTGATGAGACTACAATTTGTCTTCTTCTTGTGGTTCCTGCAATCCTTCCTCTCCTGTGGTTTTCAGTCAAATTACCCACCTCTACCCCAGGACTATTCATCTGTTATGCTTTGGATATTGTTGGTTCTTCAAAGGAAAACAAACAATGCTTGTTTAAGCCAGATCAAGATTTTATTTGAACCAGGTCCTGCATCAATCCAGAAACCAATCTCATCTCCATTGTTGTCTGTCTCTATTATTTTTCTACTTGTCACTGCTTTTCCATTTCTTCTTGCTATGCAGTTTTCATTCTTCAGCAACATTATTCAAAACTACGTAGAAGTCAAATGCTTCTGCTTTTATATTCATATCTGCTGTGTTACCTAATCTCAGCTAATTCTCTATTTAACATCTAGTTTTACCTGGGCCGACAGGTGTATTTTTAAGCTGTAAATACCACAAAATAAGACATACAGAAATTTTCTTACCCTGTGAAGCTGATCGAGGTCCTTTTCTAATATGTCACTGAACATCTGAATTCTCCCTTTCTTCCAACAGCTTCTAGTGCTGGTTTTGGCTAAGGTAAAGCAGGCGGTGCTGTTTGGATTCACTCCCTAGCTGTATTTCCATCTCATTCAGTGGCTGGGGTAGGATGGCTAGTTGGGCAGGCAGCTTGTGCAGGCAGCTCTGGAGAAATACAGAGGGAAAGCAGAGCTGTGCACGGCCAGTTTGATGCCTGTGCTAGTGTGAACACCAGGCCAGCTGGGACACTGAGTCAAGGAGCTTTTTGTAGATCCACAGAATCATTTAGGTTGGAACAGCCCTCTAAGATCATTGAACCCAGCTGCTCCCCCAGCAGTGCCAAGCCCACCACTAACCCATGTCCCCACGTGCCACATCTACACGTCTTTTAAATCCCTCCAGGGATGGTGACTCCACCACTGCTCTGGGCAGCCTGTGCCAGGGATGGACAACCCTTTTGATGAAGAAATTTTCCTAATATGCAATCTAAGCCTCCCTTGGTGCAACTTGAGGCCGCTTTCTTTTGTCCTGTTGCTTGTTTCCTGGGATAAGAGACTGTTTGACTGTTTACACACACACATGCAGGGACAGATGGGCACATGGCTTGGGAAGTCCCTGTGATTCATGGTACAGAAACTCCTGTGGATGGTCCTTTTTGTTACACAGGAGGTAAAAACTGGAGCAGCTGAGATGTATCTTAGCCAGGGAGAGATCTGAAGGCAGGGGGGAAAAAAGATGTTTTGAAATGGAGTAAAACTTGCTGCCAGGTTTTCCTCGGAGAGCAAGTCCAATTTCTTTCTCTCTTTTTTTTTTCCTTTTGGTGCTGTGCTATTCCTCCGTGGGCAGGAGGCTGCAGGCATTTCAATTCTCTTCTTCAAGTCCTTGTTTCAAAAAGGGCCCAAAATATGTTCTCTTCTAAGAGGCAGTAAACAGCAAGTGCACAATGCAGCTTCTCTAAGCCTCTCTTCTCCTGTCTCAGGGAGAAAGGAATTCACCAAGCCCTAGAGCCTGACTCACTCGCTGTGTGAGCATGAATTAACCAGGAATGTTCGAGAATTATTCCTGAATAATTCATGAACCTGAATTAATCATGCATTTTCATGAATTATTCATGAATAACTCATGGAAATGCAAGGTTTATTCATGCTCCAAAAAACCCAAGGCTTTTTCTCTTCTCTTCTGCTCTCTCTCCCCGTAAGAATCAGACCTGAAACAAGCTAAGGAAAAAAATAATGTATGTATATGGAAAAATAACAGGAATAATAATGCTGAAACAAAACAACCAGGAAAAAAAGAAAGCCAAAGCTCTCTTTTTCTTTGCAGTGGGGACAGCAGGTGGGAGCTTTCCAAGCCAGACAAAGGAGACCTGACAAGGAACTGTGGTGAAGGGACAAGCCCAAGGCAAAGAAGTGTCCGGTCACCACCTCTCCCGGAACAGGCAGCTGAGACCTGGAGAGACAGGAGACATCTTGCAAGACTCAACACCTGGAGCAGTGCTAACCAGGCAAGGAGCAGCTCTGTTGCTATCAGGATTTTGATCTCTTTCTTTCTCTGTGTGTTTGTGTAGTTTTGTTGCATTCATTAGGGTAAATGAACAACTGGTTAGTGGGGAAGGAGGGAGCAGCAGCAGCAGCTATGAAGATCAGTGTGTTTTCTTTAAATGTTAAAGCAAAACCCCTCTAGAGAGCTTTTTGGGCTGGGGTTTTTGCTGTTTGGAATGTGGAGTTGTGTTTCTGGGGGGGAGAGGGCTGAGTTATGCATTTATCCCAGTTTCTGGTCTGTAGCCTTCTCTGTGTTTGGGAGAGGGCTGGGGGCAGGCTCCTGCTGCAGGGAAGGGGATGTGGGGAGACAGGCAGTCACCACCCGGATAATTTATATATGGTGCTACATGATAAAAATAAATGTCACTGTGCCTCTGCCAGAAGGGGGTTGGAGAGAACCAGGTGTGAGACTGTGCCAGCAGGGCAGGCTGGCAGGTTTGGGGAGAGTTATGGTTGCTGCAAGGAGGTTTTCTGTAGCTGATGATGGTGGAGGGGGGGAAGGAGAAAGTTCTCCAGGGTGAACTTGAACCTTCCAAGTGAGGGGAGTCACATTCAGGCTTGACTTTAATGCGGATGTGGAGGCAAACCAAGAAACTGCAATACATTGGCTCCTAGCTGCCCTTCCTGCCACCTTGTCCCTGCTCCACCTCTCCTCTCCCTGCCCCAGCTCCCTCCCATCAGCTTTGGACACCGTGGCCGTTCTCCATGCTATGCCCAGCACACAAGCTCAGCCCCTGTGCCCAGAACCCTTCTGCCAAATCCTGCTGCCAAGCAGAGCAGGCAGGACTGGGGTGATGTTCTGCCAGGGCCATTAGGAGCTCTGTTTGGTGATCTCTGCTTGATTTTGTCCCCATCCACGGCTGAAAGCTGCAGGGAAACCCCTCCTGAGCTCAGCAGCCTTTGTCTCCTTAGCTGCTCCTCTGGCACAGGAGGTTTTGGAAGTCACCATCAGCCTGGCTGTTGTTTGATTGCTGAGCACTCTGTTTTCTCCAGGGCTTTAGGTCTGCAGATCCAGGAGGAGAAAGAGGGTAACTTAGTGGGCAGAGAAGTGGCCAGGACCCAGGATCCAGCTCCTTACAGCTTTGCTACTTGACTGCCTTAGATATATCTGTCACTGGTCTGTGCCTTAGTTTCCCCACGTGTGAAATGAAGGGAATTTGCTGTTCCCCTTATCAAAGCACTTTGATGTTTACTGGGGAAAATAACTGCACAGGCAAAGCAATGATCATTTCGTGGAATGCTCCTGTGTCTTTTTGAGTCTCTTCTCTGTACTGCCTTGATATCATACGGATACAGCTCTGCACTGTAGCAAACTGCTGTAGAACCACTGAAGCCATTTGAGCTGTGATGGTTCACACGGGCAGAGGAACCAGCCTGTGTCTGCTCAGTGGCTTATCCAGCATCTGCCCAAGGTGTCCTGTCTGAGAGCTGGTTTTGCCTGACCCCAGGTGAGACATATCATGGCTGTCCCTGCAGTTCCACTTCAAATTGAACTGGGATGCACTGAAGGCACGTGGGGCTGTGCTCAGTCAGAGCCAGGACATCCTCCTAGCCAAGGGGTTTAGGATGAGGCAAGCACAGAAGGGCACGAATGGGAAAGGAGAAATAACTAGTAAAGACACAGGGAGAAGTATTTTCTATCTGCAGGCTGCACTGCCCCAGGCAGAGCATTGCTTGCCAACACTTCCAACCACAGGAGAGCCCGGAGCTGTGCCATAACATTCCCCTGCTGCTCCCCCTGCTCCAGGTGGGCAGCCCTGATGTCGGCCAAGCTCTATGTCCTCATCAGCTGGCCCGACGGCAGCCGGGTGATCAACATGGAGAACATCAAGGAGCCCCGCAAGCCCTTCCACCTCTACACGGTGGGTGAGCAGGTGCTGGCCCGCTGCCCCGGCTTCAGCGGGCTCTACTGGGGCATGGTGGAAGGCATAAGTGGTGAGTGACACCCCTCTGCCCCGGGGCTTTGCAATTTGGGGCTGCTCGGGAGCGGCCTGTCGAGAGGGAGCGCTGAAAAATCCTCTCTTCCCACAGAGCACAAGGATATTTTAGAGAAGAAGCTGCTGGAAGACAGGCAGCTCCTGGAGAAGTTAAGTGAGTAAGGTCTTTTGGGGATTGCACCCTTCTACTTCCATGGGGCTTTTGGGGTGGGAGGGTGCTGGGCACATTGTAGTCCCATCATAAATTTCACATCACTGCAATCAGGGTAAAAAGCACTGGGAGGGAGGTGGGAGATACACAACACTGATGCCCCATTGCACTTCTTGAGCACCCTCCTTCCTTTCAGAAGCAGAACCGGCTGTCCACAGCATGATGCCATCCCCACCAAAAAAATCCAGGAAAACCTTCCCAAAATGGACCCCGGGGAATGCATCCAGGAAATACCACGGTGACAGGGCCCACCCTGCAAAGCAGCTGCTGAGGGCAGGCGAGGACAGCCTGCCCCATGATGCTGGCAGCTCCTCCATCCTCAAGGAAAGACGTGTCCTGGGCACTGCAGCAGGAAGCCCCTGTTCACTGGCAGGTCCTCCCCACCCAGCCAGCGCCTTCACACCTCCATCCACCTTCATCACCATGGCCATGTCGGGGCCAGAGACTTCCCAGGGTGAAGAGGAGAGGGCTGGTCCAGCTACCAGAGGTAACCTTGGGTTCTTGCTCTCCTGCCTGGTCCTGAGTGGCACGGTGGGATGGGGACCTGCAGAGCAGCCAGGGGACCTCTGCTTTGCTCTGGGGCTGTGTGTGCTTTCTCTCAGGGCTACAAAGGTTAGAGATTAAATTTTGTGGTCCTTCTTACCTGGGAGATCTCCTCCAGGAAGAGGAGGCATCTCTGTCTAAAGGGAGATGCCTCTGTGATAGTGTGTGGTATCTGCTCTATCAGCCATCAGCTCTGTCTCCTGGGATAGCAGTTCTCTCCCCACAAGCCAAAAGGCAATGTAGCCTGCCTGAAAAACTGTGAAACACCCAAAAGCCTTGTGTCTCAATTAGTCAAACCTTTCCAGATTTGCCTATTTCCCTGTTTTTCCACTCACTACTACACATGTTAAATGTACTAATAAAAATATGTTGTCATGTTATTTACCTGCTGACTGACAGCAATGTCCAGAGACACGTTGGCTCTGCTTACCTTGCCCATGGCTTCTTTTGTGATGAGAACAGGAGAAGCCCTTGAGATACCACCTTTTTCTAATAACAAAATCCCAATTGATCAATCCTGGAAAGCATATCTGGATCACTCTTTTTGTGCGAAGGGAATAACCTGTTGCCATGCAATCTAGCAGGAGTGCTTAGATACTCTGTTCTGGAGACAGAGGGATTCAGAACCTTCTCAACAGCTGATTTTTCAGCTTGTCTCCCATCCCTGCTGCAGATTATGTTGCCTTGCCAATGAAGAGGAAGTCAGATGGCATCTTGTCCCAGTGCCAGCAACGCATCTGTCTGAACAGGTAACTCTTGAAAGAGCAGTGAGGACCTTGAATGTTTCACACCATATACATTGATTTCATAGTGCGGGGTCTGTCCACTCTGCTTCCATTCCCTGGTGGTGCTTGATTTGAGTAGATGTTAATGGAGGCTTAAACCTAAAGCACAGAAGATAACAGGAGTTTGTGTGGGTAAATACAGCAGAGCAATTGAGTCCCTTTTGCTCTGGAGTCCTGGTTCCTTGTGGGGAGTGTCAGTGGGAGGTCCCCCACATCTTTATGAGAGGGGTTGCACAGGAGATTGTCCACGGGAAAAACTTCTGATATTCCCTCTCAGTCCATTTTATTCTTGCTGCAAATGAAAACAGAATTGACTTTGCTTTAAATTACAGCCTTTGAATTACAGATAATTCTCATCAGGTATGGATATGAATATGAGCATGAAGCTGTTTGTGGCAGTGCTGTTTAACTTGCTTGTTTCTTCCAGCCGTGAAGAGCAAAAGATTGACACTTTGCAAGAGATGGATGACTTCGAGAGGGTTCGAAAAAGTTTCAGTCCTGGTGAGATGGAAAGGTAATTAGCAAAAGAAGGCACTTGTTCTTAACTGTGTTTTCTTCCTCACTACAAGAGTGAGCAGTGAGATCACAGCTGGGTGACAAAGTGGTGCAATTTAAGAACCAAAAGTTGCTTAGTCTCTCTGTAATCAGAGCCAGGTGTTTCTGATTGTAGGGCTTGGAGTTAGAAATGCAAGAAGGCTCTAAAATAGTGCAGAAACCACAAAGCTCTTTCCTATAACAATCAAAATGACGCCTACCATGTTTGAACATGGTTGTGTGTTCCTTGTTTTATTGTTCATTACTTTGGTGACAAGTATCCAGTTATAAAGGGATGCTAGGGGACAGTTTTCTTGCAAAGAAATTCGTGCCAAAAAGATTCACGTTACGGTTCCTGCATTGTCATTTCCCACATTTCTGTTGTTTAATACCACAATTATGTGCCTCCTGGGACTTGCAGGATAGGGCTTACGTTTTTCCTTACAATTGAGAAGAAAATTGAGCATCAAAACCTCCATGTCTGCATGACAAGGGGGAGCTGAGAGTTAAACTGAACATTTCTGAGTTACTGAAAAGTCCGGATAATGTCATTCTTCTCTCCTACCTTACTGCTCACCCAGGCATAGTTGGATGGGCTGATACTCTGTCAGAGAAGTTATCCTGGCCTTTCCTGCAGGAAGTGTGTAATTACTGCTTGGGTGGAGGTGCTACATCCCTTGGCAATATCCATGGTGAGGCCATGGCGCCTTCTTGCCTTTACACATTCAAGTTTAATTTTTCAGGGTGGAGAAGATAGAGCAGCTGGAGAGGATGGTGTTTGACCTCCAACAGGATGTCCTCTCTCTGAGGAAGAAGGTGCAGAGGCTGGAATCCCTGTCCTTCCAGGAGGAGCCCCACCGGCAGCCGTGCGAGGTGGTGGAGCTCTTCAACGGCTACACCAAGGAACAGCTCAAAGAAACCATCAGGTTTGACCAGAAAATCAGCACAGCCTGCAAGACACTGCTCTACAAGCTCTTCACCTCCGACTACATCCAGAGCCACTCCATCACGGGGCGGAGGGGCAATACCTTCCGGGAGGCGAAGCCCATGATGGACGAACGCTGCATCAAAATCATCAGGGTGCTGTTGAAGCAGAAGTTTGGAGATCACCTCAGTGACACCGTGATCACGGAGAAGATACAAAATGTGCAGAAGGCTCTGAGGCAGAAGTTTAAGACAGAATGTCTCTGAGCCACAAGGGGGTACTTGGTGTCTCCTCCTGCCATTCTTGTGTGTGCACCTGAGCAGCCCTCCTGGGAAAAGATGAGTCCAATCTGCTGCTGTTCAGTTGATTTCCCCCAAGGAGCCAATCCAAGGAAACCATGTGCTAAACACAGCTCAAACCTCTCACTGCCAAACCTCTGCCCACGTTAATTGAGCAGGAATTCTGCCCAGCTTGGCCGAGTTTTTGCACATCTGCTAGCACTCTACAGGTTCCTTCCTACCCAGTCTGGGTGTGAACCTCACTGCAGGTGCATGTAATTGTCTCTATGACTTTTTGATGACGTGCTCAGAAGCTGAGGTCCAGGTATGGGTCAGTAAGTCAGCTCTGTTTAACCTTGCAGTGGGTTAGGGAGAAATGTTGGCTCTGGGATAGAGAGTCCAGCTGTGAATGGACTGTGTGTCACCCAACAGGGCTTCTCTCTGCATGACTCTGGTGGCCTCCTTCTGCCTGCAGGACAATATTTGTTCTCTTTGGTCCTAGTGAATGTGTTTTACAATTTCCTGCAGTAACAGAACAGCAGACTCATAAACAACACCATAAAACTTTCAGAGAAAGATAATTTCATTTTTTTCCTCTATTTTAATGTAGCTGTATGGAAGAATTGTCTTCACTTACGAAAACCTCCTGAAAAATAGAAGTGGCCACCTGTGGAAATTTTGCATTAATTTTCCTTTCAAGACCAGATTATTTCCATGGAGAAATCCTGTACTTTTTCATGACACAAGAGTGAGGGATGAAGGACAAAATATGGCCCACTGTAGTTACATCTTTACTTCAAAGATCAGACATGCTATGGACAGAGTCACCATAATTTAAATATAGTATTTATATCCTAGTTAAGAAATGCCAAGTACAACCAGAGCTTGCTAAGAAACTATAGAGAAGGGCTAGAAAGACACATCTTTTCCTAAATAGTTCAGAGCTGGAGTTTGGGTGGCTTAAAATTGGTTTTAACATTAAAAGAATAAGATGCTGACACCAGTCCACTTAACAGAAGTGCTGCAAAATGCCAAACATTCTCTTTTACAAAGGCTTCTCGAACCAGAAGTTGGTTTTCTAAGCTTAACTTTTAAATTATTCAGGAAAAGAAGTGTCAGTGGTTTTGCATTAATCAAAACATTTGGTTTAATTTATATGTTTTGTTGTGTTTTCAAGTATTTAATTTCTTCAGAGTTACATAAGAAATAATAAGACAAAATAAATGTATTGGAAAAACAAGGAGCTGTTTTGAAAGGAAAAAAAAAAGAAATGTGTTATTTTCTGCATTTTCCTCCCCCCTCTGCCTTTTTTCTAGTTGAAAAACAGAATCATTAAGGTAGGGCTAATGCTATAAAGCATTTTGATTTTGGAGGGAGATATGCTTGGCAATGTTTCTGGCACTGTTTTCGTCAGATGTTTCTAACAGTCATGTTAAATTGGTATAGATAACAACTAAAGATATTCCTTCTGTTTTCCCAGTGCAAATGCTTTTCCTAACTCTCTGTTATGCAAACATGCTGGTGATGATTTCTCCTTTGTAAGGACCTTGACTCGAGCAGCAGCTGGAGCAGGTCTGTTGTGATCACTTAGAGCCAAGAGTGCAGCCAGTCCCTGAAAAGACAACTCAACCTGAGCAGAACTGTCCCCAAATCTCCTCAGTGCAGAAACACACCCTGAAATCCAGCAGCCTTGCTGGAAGCATCTTGCCTTCCCACCACAGGGAAGGCCTTAGGCTGGTATCACTGCCTAGGGAAATGCCCCGGGTGGTTTCTAATGTTGACGGTACCAAAGCGAAGATTGAGGAGGCACAAACAGCCTTATCCTGCAGAACCTTAAAGATCATCTCATTCCAACCCCCGCCATGGGCAGAGACACCTTCCACTGGACCAGGTTGCTCCAAGTCCCTTGAACACTTCCAGGGATGGGGCAGCCACAGTTTCTCTGGGCAATCTGTGCTGGTGTGCCTCTCTCAATCTTCCCTCCTGATGCCTCATCAGATACCTTGCAAAGCTGCAGCTTTGAAAGCCAGTTCACAAATGTTATTTATTAAAACAAGTGCTGCTGCTGTCCTCCCCCGCTGAGCCCCCTCTGACAAGCTGCAGATCATTACTGCAAGAGGAGGGAGGAAAAAACCTGAGAGAACAGACTTGCTGTGGGGTGCGATGGCTCCCGAAAAGAGTTGTCTCTAATCAGCTCCCCTGGAAGCAGATGAGCTGGGTGACCTTTCTGCTTGAAAGGCCCTTTGGTGGCTTCCTCAGAGGTGACTTCACAGCCTAAAACACTTGCTGATATTCAGCGAGTGCTCCTGGTAAGTGGGCTGATGGATGCTCCACGGCTCTGTGTGCGGCACTGCCGCGGCACTAATGAGTCGATGCTCAAATGGGCCCTTCTCAGATATAAAAGTTGTCCTCAGCTACTCTCAAAGGCTTTGATGCAGCAGAGAGGGTTGGAGAAAGGCAACGCAGGCGGCTTTTCGTTAAACTTAATTTTTAAGGTATTTGCCAGCCAGAGGCAGCGTTTCCAGGCTAATTGGGAGCCCTGGCAGACATCAGCGATCAGACGTCACCGCGAGGATGCCGATGCTCTCACCTCCCTGAACTCTCCTGCTCTGGCTAATCAGCCTCAAGAGGGGGATCATACAGCACTGAGATGTGGCATCCCCTCAGGGATGAAGGGGTCAGGGCAGATAGAGGAGGAGGAGGAGCATTTATGCCAGAACCACTTCACTTGGGGGTGTTCAAAGCCCATCTCTCTCTAAGTGATGAAGGGCAGCTCTATTGAATCCCATTAACCTCCCACTTTATGTGAATTACTGGAGAAAACTGTACAGGTCTCTCTGTTGAGATTAATTACTCTGCTGAATCATCAGCATCTTGTTAAAAACAATACTCTCTGTTCAGCTTCTGGGCTGTCTGGGTGCAAGAGGACGTGGACAGTGAAAATAAAGGTCAAAACTCAGGGGTGTCTTCAAGGACTTTTTGCATTTTAAAAGGAAGCAGAAAGGGGACTTGTCAACTTTTGCAAATATGGGACAGGCATGGAACATCCAGTCCTCCCTCCCTCCAGCAGGAAGCAGAGCAGGAGTTCTGTCCCCGGGGCTTTACATGATTCAACCAGGGTGTGCAGCAACTGAGCAGGGACCTTACAGGGCTCTGGGCTCTCTGAGGGCCCTTGGTCCCCAGCACCTCAAAACACTGCAGTGGGTGCCACCCACCACCTGGTTACACCTCTTTTGTTTCCTTAGGAGCTGGCTGAAAGCTGTGTGTTACTCACTGGCAGCAATACACAGGATTTCAGGGAAAGATGGTACCTTCACCATTTATTTCAAATTAATTTCCTTTACTCTTCCAGGGGGATTCCATGTCCAGTACAGGCAGATTTTAATTTTCCCATTATGTGGCTTGTAGGAAACACTCACCACTGAGTCTCTCAATGTCTGCACTGCGTGCATCCCCTAGAAACCATAACACACCCATTCAGTGACATGCAAACCATGAGTATCAGATAAAGGAATAATATTAAAATGGAACTAAATCCCTTCTTGGATCTTAATCAAGGCTTACAATGCCTGGCTGCCTTTACATGAGCCCCAGACAGCCATTGCTGAGTCTGCCTGGTGCTCTGAGCTGGCTGAATGCAGTTGGAAAAAATCATCTGACAGAATGAATGGAACAGCAAATTGTGGAAATGTCCTGTGCTCGTGTCTTTGTCTTGGCTTGAGATCCTCCATCAGGCAGCTGAGGGACACAGAGAGACCTCAGCTGGGGGGGTCAATGAAATACCAGAAGAACAAGCCTTGACCTGTAGGAGCTTGAAGCTGTGTGACATCTCCACAGTGTCACAAGAAGATTTTTTATTTTTGGTTCCAGTAAGTCTTTATCTTATTTGGCTTCAAAAAGACAGTGAAAGAGGAAAAAAAAGCACACAGAGATGTGGCCCCGGAGCTGTATGTGTGTATTGTATTTGCATTTCTGGAATATTTTTTGATAAAAGTAATTTTTTGTACTGTTTTACATTTTTCTTGACAGCATACGTGTATATTTTTTTTTAAGAGTGCACACACATGCCTGGTAGGTGTGCAAATATATCAGATTTTATACTTTAAGCAATCTTTTATGTCTCTGCTTCAGTCACATATTCATTACACTTCATTTTTACCACTATTCCTCTGTCTGCAGTACATGATTGCATTATTCCACCTCATATCTCTCTATCTCCCCCATCTTTTCAGAGTTGAATGGAACTGGGGAGATCGTTATTAAAACACAGAAAGTACAGAAATAAAATTAACCAGAGCATCACTTCTCTGTATGATGAATACACTGAGGAAATAAAAGGGCCTTCGACTTCTAATAAAATCTGGATATGAATTGCCTCATAAAAGCTTAAATGAATTATATTCAGAGGCCAAAACGAGAGAAGAGAGAGAGCTCAGAGCCCTCTGACAGCAGGATGGCTGCTCTCCTGGCCTTGGTGTGCAGCCCAATGAAATATCCATGAAAGCTTTGGAACCAGGTGTGATGTTCTGCTCAGAAGGTGAGGACTTGACGTGACTCACATGTTCACAGCTCAGTAAGTCCCTCTCAAATAAATATTAACCCACTAAGGTTGCTGGAGCTCCTCCTGCTGCCTCCTGAGGTCTCAGCCCTTGCTTCTGTTCTCACCCAGGTTGCTTGATGGTGGAGGAAGGATCCCACAGAGGAGCAGAGGCTTCTCAACCCTGTTCTTGACCCACTCTGACCCTCCCAGGGTCCGACAAAGCATTTGGGGTATGGACATGGCTTCTCAGCTTCTTCATCTCTGTGCTGGAAGATGGAGGCTGGTGAGGAACATGCCCCAGTTCTTCTTCTTTGTAAAGCCCCAGTGTCCCCTTGTCAACATCACGTACATGCTGTCCCAGGACATCACTGTTGTCGTGAGATGCAGTTTGGGGGCATGTTTTCTTTTTGTTGGGTGGGTTCTTTTCTTTGGTTGAATGTTAGCTGAAGCCAAGGGGACTGCGTGCCTAACTCTGGAACAGAGAGATTAGCATCCCAGAAAGCCAGGACTGCATGGTGCTTATTGATTGTTTCTCTTAAATATAAGCAGTGTAGCCCAGAGTGTCAGGCATCCAAGGAAGAGGAGACTGCAGAACTGATGTACTGCAGGTAATGAATAATCGTTAAAACTCCAAAGGAGTTTATTATTGTTACCATTAATTTAAGTTGTACTGTGCCCAGAGACATGGAAGGTGGAGACAGATGAGTTCATGACCTGCATATTACAGGCTAGGTTTTAGCCTGGTAATATAAGGAAATCGATCATTTCTTAAGTGAGAAGACTGATAAAATCACTGACTTCAGAGGAGCAACATCATTGCTTTTATATGTTCAACAAGCTCACTGGAATGGTGCCAGAGAAGGGTCAAATCCCTCTTCTGTATATCTTAAATTCAGGAGTTAGTTTGCCCTCTGTTCCCCAGAGGCAGGAGGGAAGCAGGTAACACCATCCAGTGTTCACACCTTCACTTATGGCAGGATTTCCCCTCTGTGATAATCTGCCCTTGTGCAGGTTGGACATTCCCTGTTCTATTTGTTGACTCCCTGAGGTTTTACATACCCTGAATTCATAATAAATTGCCAAAAGTGAAGGAAAGCCATAGGAAGACCCCTCCAGCCAAAAAAAGGCTAGGCCAAAAGTCAGAGGTTTGCTGTTGTTCCTTAAAGTGGTTTGGTCCAGGAGTAAAACACTGCCACAGTGTGAGAACCCTGCTCTTCTTCACGGTCCCCAAATTACTTGAGCATGTTCCTTTGTACTTCACTGTGTGGTGGAAAGGACCCAAGCAAGAGGACTCCTTCCTCTCCTGGACACTAAACAGCAAAACCAGCTACAAACCACCCACAAAAAAAAGTCTGTTGTAGTTTGTGCAGACCACAAGGGAGGTGCAAACTGCTCTCTGCTTTTTGGGTTTTTATGCAGTGTATTTCCCAATTCTCACTAGAGCTGAACCAAGAAAAAGTTGGGTTTGCTTTCTGCAGAAGTGCTGCTTTTCCATTTGCAGATCTTTCTGTATTTCTTGGCTCGAAGCAGAAGGAACAAATATGAATGTATTCATGGCCCTTCCAACAGGACCTTTAGGGTGAGAAATGAAATCAGTCACTTTAATGGGTTGTCTGGGTAGAGGGATTTTACAACTTACTGTAGTCTTGCCTTTAATTCAACTAATTCCTATTTATATAATACACAGTGCTGGTTTAGTCAATGCTCTGAGGAAAAGTCATTCCTGAGAGAGCCAGTAGCAGACCTGCTTTCTGGTGAATAACTTGAAAGTTGCAACTGTGATGTCTGTATTTTTTCCTGTAATTGCTGCAGCCTGTGACCCACTTTTTTGTGCTTGTACAGCTTAGAGAGCTGCATTTATTAGGTCACTCAAGAGCCAGCAATACAAACCACAAAAAGGTGGACATTTCCAAAGAACTGAGA